TATGAAGAGACCCCTCAATAGGGTGTGTGGGGGGGGGGCTATATTAGATGGAATGGCCCAGTGTGCTGCAACAACTTTTAAAATTTGTATATATGTTTTTAAGGCACAATATGTGATGGAGTTTGATATGATGATCAGCACAACCTGAAGGTCTTGACTGAATGAACAACTTATCTGATATACTCCTACTTCCAATATTTTGTTGTATATTATCACCAGCTCAGATGTCAGTTGGATCACTTTGAATGAACATTGGAGTGGCACAATAAAGTGTCTGTATTAGGGAGGAGTCTATAAGGACTGAAGTAAAAAGCACACTTTTGGATATTAATCTGAATCATAGCAACTACATATACTGTAGGTTTCAAATTAGTTTGAACAATGAACAACTGAAAATAGAAATTTATTTAATTGGAAACACTTAAAGGAATTACAACATATTATATGATAGTCATATGTACATGATTATAGGTATATATTCATTAGTTTTACTAGCTGATATTTATGACTATCCTGGGACAACATTTTATTTTTCCCAAGAGATTTTACTTGCATGATAGTAATAAGTTTAATAGTAACAGAGAAGTGTGATGGATATGTGCAAGTAATTATCATTAGAAATACAAAGATTAAACTGTAATTTTGATCATTGTAAATATTATTAAAGAAACAAAATACAAAAGTCACACAAGGCTATTTAACATAATACAGTCATAATACCAGACTGGTTAAAGAACTACTGAATAGATCGAGGGATCATGAAAATCTTCTAAGATTACTACCATAGCTCTGTAACAGGAAAAGCTATAGTGAGTTAAGGTTTCTTCACCTTGATGAACAAAATTATATAGCATTAGAAAACTATAATGCCATCAACTAATTCCCATTTAAAAATTTTCATGTTGGTCACTGTGAAATATAATCTTGAGGCCATCTTAATGATTGTTTACTATCTGATTGATGACATGATTATATATATTTCCATGGAATTCAAGTTGTTTTTTTCCCCCAAGTTCATGTAAAATATGGTTCACCTGTTAAAATAATAAAATGTTTATTAGTTGTTTTGTAACAGAACAGTACCTGCTTTAAAGAAAATATAGGAAAGAGAAAATTGAAATAACAGTTGTACACTGTATATGGAAAACAGAATAAAATCTTTCTAAGCATTCCTACTACGTACTGTTATCGTAATTTGATTAACTGATGAGATAATATGAAGTTTTTCTTTATTTTAAAACTGTGATTTCTGAAGAAGTCTTTCTGTATGTGTGAAATGAAGTCTTGCTGTATGTGTGAAACTGAGTTTATTAGAAAATGTGATTTCCGAGACTCTGAGAAAATGTGAAAGCAACGTGTGAAATAAATCGAATAAATTCAGTATAAATGTACAGTACATACCTTGATATACAGAACAATCATTCAATATCATTTCATATTCCAGGCAACACTATCAGTGTTTATTCAGTCGCATTTGAGGCCGAACAGCATCTGATATATACGAGGGTTGCCAAAGCGAACAAAACAATGTCACAAATTTGAGCGCCATACTCCGACAAATTGATACAATATGATGATGAATGTTGCACAGTTTTGTGTACATGTGTGTTCACAGCTTATATCTGAAGTATTTTTCGTAAAAGTTGTTAAAACTTTGAGAATATAAAATCCATAAACAATCAACAAAACATGTATATTTTTAAGCAAGAAAATCGTAAGCGCCAGCGCTAATTGTAGTCAGCAACATAACGTTGTCGTTACTGCGCATGCGATAAATCTCCAAGAATCTTGGAGATTTCATCGTATTTTACCAGGGTCTTCCTCAGCTCGCGCGCCACCACGAGGAAGACCCTGGGGACGAGGTTGCTACCAAGTCTCAACATAAAATATTAAATTCTGGCCTTGATTATCATGACCGCCCGACTGAATTTTAAAATCCTCGTGAAAATGTTTTATATTTCGTTATACAATATAAATGTACCGCCCGACAAAATAATTCAAGACAGTTAATTTTTTCATATTCTATATAGAGTTTTTATTGCCATTTTAAACTTCCAATTTGAAACAAACAGAATTTTGAGTGAAATTTCATTGTATTTTAAAGAAACTCAGTCATTCTGTCATTGTTCGTGGAGATACGAACTATTGATATATAAATTATATAAATATAAAATATAAAAAATAAATCTCCCACTGTCTTCGACATTTCAAAGTGTAGACTCATGTCTAGTGATGAGAATCAAGGAATTTATTTTATGTGTTAATATAAACCAAGCCCGTTTAGCTGCCTTAAAACGGTGGTTTAATAAGCTCAAAATACAAAGCATGCAAGTCTAAGATTCGTCATCAGTCAACAACCAAAATGAAAGTATTGAACCTTATAGAACGATAGTTTTTATTTGTTTACAACTATACATATTCAACGGTATATAAGAGTTTAACTGTTATTTGATAATTTATACTGCATCAACCGGCCCCTTGTTTATACTTTGAAGGTTCGTATATAATATCTATCAAGTATCTTTGGTTCAGAACATGATAGGCCTACATGAAAATCCCACTGTTCGATTCAGTGAAGAAATATCTCCTAATTCCTATCGATAGTTTTAGTAAAATGTCAACATTATTGCGATTTATGGCCTTTGAAAGTCAAGCGAGATCGTATATTATCAAATTAATACGCATGTAATTGTCTGAACGAAAATATAGACTAGCCCATACCTTTCGCCGATCATAACTTCGGCCCCTTCGGACGTATCTTCTTTGTTAAATATTCTTGTTCGAATCTCTATCAATAACACTATTTAGAGTGTTATTTTTCAGCTTGTATCTTTTAATTTGCTTCTTTTATTATGTTATTCCATTTCTGGTCTGACTTGACGTGAACTAATTTCAAAACGCAGAGTTTCAAAACGTCAAAACATTTGGTTAATGATTAACATTTAACCGAATTTAGCCGTTGATTGACAACTACATAAAAATACTAACCAATCCGTTTTTCCCGTTCACCAGCGGACGGGTAATTCAAAAACCCTTAGTTTTGCGGCAGACGGTATTTCCTTTGCTTCCCTAATTTTCGCTGCCCGTAGAAATACCGCCTGCCATGCAGGCTACGCCTCTGCGTGAAACACGGAAAATACGCGTATCTGGTCCCGAATGTAGTGGCAGATGAGTTCTACGAGTGCTTTAGTTCCCAGTAAAACACCATTGTCCATATAATAAATTTATATATCTTATATATAAGCAATGCTTATAACCCCTTGAAATTGCTTACTTACAGTTCCTTACATGAAGTAATTGCCTCGCTTTGAACGGCTGTTTTTCGTTGTTTTATTGTGAATTTTATTATTACTAATTAATTAATTTGGATCTTCGAGCAGTTTTAATTTGAAAAAAAATTAACAAAAAGGATCGATTAATTTTAGTATAGTTTGACAATTGTATAACTTTGACTGTCTTTCCAGGAACACAAATGATGGTCAAGACAATATTTAGTTCTCTTCTATTCATATTTCTGTTATCACTGACAAATGTTATCACAGTTTCGTCACATCCTATGTTAACAAGGCAATTGAGGAAAGTAAGTAGCTCATGCAGAATGCAAATTTCGCCTGTATTATGCCAGGGTTAATAGTATACTAGTTGTTAGTGGCGTGGAAGTTGCATGGATATATATTTTTGGAATAAAAATTCATTTGTTTCCTGACGTGTACCACCCAGAAATGTTTTAAGGCCGGCGCACACGAGAGCTATCTCCTTACGCCAACAGTCACGAATGACATTTTGCTAAGCACATAGCTCTAGTGTGCGCCGGCCTTTAAGTAATTGTATTTGTAACTTACCAACTTACTTACCATGCCAATTGCGTGCCCAAAGATGTAATATTATTATAAAGGCCCATTTCCTCTCAAGAAAATTGTCCACGGACATAAAATTTTCCGAAAATATTATTATTAAAAATTTTACAAAATTTCTTTATGCGGAACATTTTCTTGAGTGGAAAAGGACCTTAATTAAGGCTATTCTTAAGTAAAATTATATTGATTAAGAAAATTTTAATGATTGAGAAAATTTTCTATTGAAGCGTCCTCAATTCTTGGTAAGAAACAAAAGAATCTATCTTATACGGTGATATATGACATATGATCATCATTTCGAAACTGGTCATGCAGTGGCCACCCTATATCTTATGATAATTTTCAAATATTAAAAACTCGCTCCTTTGAATCGATATCTGATATTGTCAGTACTAAATTCCTGCATGGAAACTTGTTTTTCTTCAGCATCTTTACATGCCATTTTAGGCATAAGTTGTCAAGAACATATTTAGGCATTTTATTTATTAATTAAGCCGCTGCTTTCTGGTCCTAGCATTGTGACTGACTACCGATCAAGAATACTCCAGTGATTGCGCGGATTGACAAACATTGGAATTTGATTGATATAACACATGCAAGTAAAAAATACGGGAAATTAATTGCAATGGCCCAGGCACAATATGGACAAAAGCTATAACGTCAATTTAAATGTCGACGTGTTGGAAAAAATTGAAAATTAAGGATGATCGGTATTGGGCATGTACTAAAATAGAAAATATTAAATATTTCAGCAATATAAGCCACGTCGATAACTTGAATTGATTCATCGAATGACTATCTTTATGTATATATTAGTGTAACCCCACATCTGAAACTGGTAGTAATAAATTAATTCCAGACTTGAACTTGTAATAAACCTTTTCAAAAATTATAGAGAGATGCTTTGTGGCTTTCAACAGGGAGATCAACATGTCCAGATTTGAATAAAGTATGCAACACAAATGAAGATTGTGAAAATTGTGATGTGGCGTTGGCGTGTCTCCAACCAGTTTCTGGGTCCGTTCCACAATGCATTCAATACAACCCTTTATATCCTGGAACAAATCCAGGATGAAACGTTCCACAACTAGTTACAACTATTAAAGTGCTACAACCCCAAATATGATTTAACCTGCATGGGGGTAACAGTAGTGGGTCATTAAATTAAAACTCTTTTACTAATAGTAATAAACACAAATTGATAAACTCCTCTTGGTAGAAGTTTCCGGATATGATGAATTGAAAATTAGATTACTTTTGTTTCTTTGTTTTTTGTCTTTAAAAACATCTCTGAAGAAAACGTGTCTTTTTCCAAACAAGATATCGTACATTTCTGCCGATAATTAGAATAACACAAAACGTAATAATTGCACACTCCAAAAATCATTTGGGGGTTTTAGTGGCACTCTATAAGATGACGACTTTGATTTACATTTATTACATATAGCATGCAATTAATTAATAGTAAATGTATGTCAAAATATATTGTTGCTTATTATCAACTCGATTAAAGCATATTAAAGCCATCTTGTAGTCAACTATTAGAATGAACTTATGAAAGCTAACCCTATACCTGTCACATTTTAGGGGGAATTACTATTTTTAAACTTTTGTAATTTTGTATTCTTTGATTTGTGTTTTAAACATAACCCTAATCCTTTACTCTAATCCTAACCCTGATCTTAATCCTAACCTTAATCCTTTCCCTAATCCAAACTCTAATCCCTAAAAGTCTAAAAATAGTAACTCCTCCTAAAACGTGACTCATATGGTGGGTGCATCCGACTGATGTATTTCTATAACTTTCCAAATAACATTCTTCCGAATGTTCATTATGTGAAAGATAAAAAATAAACCATTCATTTGAAACATATAAAACGGCTCTTCACAATAATGCAATACACATGCATCTCTCTAACTTCACGAAGTCAGCTCCTTGCACCGAAGATGCAAGAGAATTGTAATATGTAAGGTCTTTGAAATAGCATATTTTGCATTCTGGGCTAATGTTAAGACGTTAAGAAAATTATAAGCTTCGTACAAATACACGACGTACTATATAGGGCTGCACATTTCAGCACTATATCGTCTGTATAAGGTTTTGGACTGTTTGGACAGTATATATATAGGCTGGGATTTTTCTTAAATAAAGTTCGTATTGGCGGGAGATTCCAATTACTTCACTAAACAAACAATTTGCTTTTGTAACAATGAAATGAAACTTCGTACCTTACTGCTTCGGATAGTGACAAAATCTGACTTGCATTTCGATTTCGATTTAAAGCTGTGCTTTTTGTCCCCCCCCTTTTTACATCACATTCATTACTATTCAGCTCACTCCACATTGAGGCTTTTCACTCCCCCTACGGCTCTTCCGACAAAACTGCAGTTGGTGTGGATTGTGGAAGATATCCTCCAGCTTGAGCCGGATGCAGCAAATGTTGTCTGGCATTCCAAAACAGGAAGAACATGATGCCAAGATTTTGTTGGCATCTCACTGGAATGACTAACATTTGATGGGTATTGTATAGATGGAAATTGTCGAGTGGAAATTTATATTCATTTATTAGACCAAACCAGGAACAGCTGCAAAAAATGCAACTTTATGTCCCTGGCAGGAATCGAACCTACAGATCTGCGATTCTGGTGCAGCGCTCTAACTAACTGACAGTGGCGGCGCCAGGGGGAGGGGGCAAGGGGGGGCAAATGCCCCCCCCAATTATTTTTTGCCCCCCCCTCCCATATTGCCCCCCCCCCCTCAAAAAAAATTATTAGTCACTAAGAGCGACTAAAGGCTGCACAAGCGTTCTGTCGTTATCGAAAAATGTATGGCTTATAAGTTGTCATTACTCATTAGTGAATGCGCGTATACATGAAACTGTTTTTACAGTTTCAATATTAGTTTGTAAATCTCCGAATGGTAAAACTTGCCAATACTCCAATAATACGTTTCAAAAAAAGACAAAAAAGCTTTAGTTTTGCAGAGTTAAATTCTCAAACGTGTAAGGCAATAATAAGATGAAAGTATCACGAAATTATTTGAATAAACCACATCGCATATATGGGGGGCGAATGTCCTAAAGAGGGGCGATATTCCTAGGGTATTTGCCCCACCCCCCTGGGAGGCGATATTCCCAGGATATTCGCCCCCGGGGGCGATATTCCTAGGAATATCGCCACGTTTTGAGGGGGGGGGGCGAATTTCCTGGGGGGGCGACCTTTTTAAAAATTCTATCTTGCCCCCCCCAAAAATTTGAGTTTGCCCCTCAAATGCACCCCCAAATTTGGAAGCCTGGCGCCGCCACTGCTAACTGAGCTACAGAGGACATGCAGTCGTCGAGTTCAATAACCACAAGTTCGTGTATATATATACTAGGGTGCCAGGGACCTAAAGTTGCATTTTTCGCTTCTGTTCCTGGTTAGGTCTAATAAATGTATATAAATTTCCACTAGACAATTTCCATCTACAATACGCATCAAATATTATTCATTCGAGTAAGATTATTATTTATTAAGCTTATTTACTCACAGTAGCCTTTCAGGTGTCTGTTTTTCAAAGGGCCGTGCACACTTACTATAAATTATGATAGAAATATCAAAAGTATTAACAATAAAATAATCATGTAAAAGATACACTATTCTCACTCGGAGTTTTCTCTCACCATACCATATAATTTGAATATTTATGCATGAGATGATTAGTTGGTCATCCATATACACCAACTACCCCTCGGCTGCGACACTTCCGCCTCAACCTTTGGCTGAAAATTATTTAATCCCAATCTTAATATTCCTTCAGTTAAAGATATTGTGCGGAAGAAGCGAGCAGTGAGAATATATAACTATTTACATAAACGTATGGTTAGGCATGATGACCTCCCAGTTCAAATACACAAGCCATCGATTAGTCTCTTGAAATAACTTATAGAAGTTTCATGCAGGTATTTTTATTATTGGCAGTTTTACCATTAAAATTTGATTCCATGAAACAGCTCCTCTTCGTTTTAAAAAAGTTGTCTTAGGTTTTGGTAGGTAAAGCTTTTGATGATTATGTCGTAGTTGGTAATTTTCAGGGAGGCCGGACCTGGGGGGGGGCAGGAGGGGCAGCCGCCCCCGTTGCCCTTTACCAGGAGGGGCGAGGGGGGCAAAGGTGCCCTTTCAATTTAAAGGATTGCCTTGGCGAAATAGCGAATTGTCAGAAATGTTAGTGCAAATTTTTTACGAATTTGCTTCAGAAAACGCATGAGTGCAGTCATCGAGCTTCAAGAATAGCACAATCGCCTGGCGATTCCCCTCACACCCCTATCACCCAATAAATAGAAAACATGATTAGACGAAGTTCAACTCCCGATGTTTTGCAAACATCTCTTAGTATATATCAATTCAAAAGTGCCCTTTCACGAAAATCTGCCCCCCCCCTTGCCTTTATATCGTTCCGGCGTCCCTGGTAATTTTTGTTAACCATAGCCTAACGAAGGGAAGATGGCTATGAAACTCATTAGAATAACAATATAGATAACGAGTTACATTGTTATTCAAATGAGTTTCACAGCCATCTTCCCTTCGATAGGCTATGGGTTAACAGAGACACGAAACATGTTAAATATTCTTGAGCTATACCCCTATAAGTGCTTTAAATGTCATCACTAATTCTCGCTTTTTTAGTATTGACTGTATTTTTGTCCATTTGGATGATGCCAACAAAATTTTGATATTTACCCATAACTTATACATGGCGGTACCCTAGTGTGTATACACAAACTTGTGGTTAGAATTCGACGATTGTCTTCTGTAGCTCAGTTGGTTAGAGCCCTGCACCAGAATCGCAGAGCCACAGGTTCGATTCCTGCCAGGGACCTAAAGTTGCATTTTTCGCAGCTGTTCCTGGTTAGGTCTAATAAATCTACATAAATTTCCACTCGACAATTTTCCCATCTGCAATACCGAACATGAGCTCCACCTTTGAATTTATTATATGAGTAAATTGTTAAACATGTCCGAATTTATCAATATGATAAATTCGCGGCACATTTTGAAGGGGGAGGTCGCCCCGGGAGGCCGGTCGCGCCGGGATGGGGAAATCTTCAAAAAGAGTTAAAAAAGAGTTAAAACAAGTAAAAAAGTTAACAAAAGTGAAAAAAAGTTCGATTATACTTAGGGGTTGGGGTTAGGGTTAGGGTTAGGGGGTTAATGTTAAGGGTTGGGTGCCGCGAATTTATCATATTGATAAATTCGGACGTGTTTAACAATTTACTCATATACTAAATTCAAAGGTGGAGTTCATGCTGACAATACCATCAAAACATGATGCCGCTATAACAAAAGTCATCTAAAAAAGAAAATTGCTTGGCAAAGGAAATAAATCGAAAATTTTGTGATTTTCGTACCGGTCTCATTAACATGTTGACAATTTCAATTTTCATTCCGGTTTGACTTCGTCCCGGTCTCTTGTAAACGGGACCTAAGTGGCTCTTACCACCATCATGTAATGCCAGAATTGCCAAGAGCAAACGCGGGATCAATCAATCCGGCAATAATTTATTCAAAGTACCTATAATAAAATCAATGTCAAGGCCCTTGCAGGAGATGCAGAGGTCAGGATCCCCTTACTCATTGTTACATTAAAATTACATATAATTTCCTTTTTTAACTTACAAAATATAAGATTAATAAAACAATAATATTACGGAAATCACCGAACTGTGGAATCGCATCAAAAATTCGTATCGCCGCCACTCCCACAAACGTCTACGACCGCATCTACATATTTTTGCATGTTTACAATTCTAATTTGAAACACCAATCCGGTTCTTGGTAACAGTTACAATTAAACGTCGATTGGGCTGTTTAATTTAAAATTAAATTGTAAACATGCAAAAATATGTACCTTGCATTTTTCGGGGTTAAAACGCAATTTCCAGGATTTAGTCCAATCATTCATACATCAAGTGTTAGCGTGTCGCTCTCTGGGTCAGACAATTTCCAATAAATGTTTGTATTATCTGCTTTAGTACCATCGGCGATAGAGGCTATACAGGCAGCAAACCTAGAAGGATACCCTTTCTGTGAATAAGCATTGAGCACAGTTCTTCATACAGATGTACAGTCGGTCAACGCCTCACAGCGCGACAAATAAGTTCCCAGGCCGCAATGGATAATGGCAAAGAGATACGGGCTATAAACTACGGCTAATATCATCAACTGTAGAGCACGTGATCAGCGCTACAAAGAAAAGATGACAAGTGACAACCAAGAAACAAGCACAACATACCCTACTATTGTTCCCAGTAAACTGCGAAACGACCGTTTTTTTAGGCGCTTTGTCAGTGACGGTTTTGTCAATGGCAAAGGACATATTTGCGTACCACGCGATTACAATCCTTTGCAAGCGGCGTGTGAAAAAGGCATATTGTAAACACTGGACTGGACTTTGGACTGGACTTTGGACTTTGGACTATGGACTTTGGACTATGGACTTTGGACTTTGGACTTTCGATTTTGAAATTATATTATTTTTTTAGATTTTCGTATAATTATATTAAAATCTAAACAGAGAACGAAAATTTGCTGCTGAAAAGCGTGCTACACTGCATGCACATGCATGATATAATAATATACAAGGTAAAAAATCTCTAGTATCAGTTATATAGGTATACCAGCAGTGCAATTTCATACGGATATAGCCTGTAGGATAGCAGAATTATCCAATATTTTGGGATTTAATATTTACATTTTATATAATATTTGTATTTATAGTATGCATATAGTACAGTATATACTGCAGAACTTCTTCTTTATCATATACTAATAGATTAATTGTCAGAAACAATTGTGACAAAAGTGTCTCGGCAAATACAAAATATTAACTATACAAGTGATTATTATCGCGCCTATTGAGTATTGAGTATTGTGACTGTTCATCTTTGCATAATAGTTTATACTAATACTGCAGTATTGTGTAATTGTTTACTCCGTTACACAGTAACGTTTTGTTAATGTTACTTATTTTTGAAAGACATTCTAGTTAGCTA